GGGAAAAGGGCGGCATACAAATGAAATAAAACTCTAAACTCTAAACTCTAAACTCTAATTGCATTCCCACAATAATGTTTCTGTAATGTATACCGGGATGTCACATTTTGACTGATCCACAACCATCCAAAGCACATCTAGGTTTTTCAGTTCAAACTCAATGCCCTCACCGTTAGCTAGTTCCTTTTCTCATCTGTTTGGTCAACCTTCCAAAAATACAGCTTACAGGAAACTTAGAACAGAAAATAGCATTGTCTGAAGAATTGGCTTCTTCGATTTGTATTCAAAACTGAATCTTTCAACTGTGCTAAGAGGAGGAGTTGTGGGTCATAGACTAGGCAATTAAAAGCCCATCCAATTACAATAGGCTTATCCCATTTCATCCCTCTTTTCCCCCCAGAAAATAGATCATCCAGAAATTCCTGAGTGTTGTTTGCACTCAAATGCTTTAAGCAACTCATGTTCATGTCTGTGGAGAATGTGCAAATCAAATCCCACTAAGGTGCCATCAGCATTTTTCTTTCTTCTACCAAAGCACATGTTTTTCTGATCCTTCTTCCTCTCTCAAGTGATAAATGGGAGTGACAATCCCATCTGGCCAAGCTAACTTGTTGCAGTGAGAACAAAATGGAAACATATGAGAGATCTGGCAGGATTTGCACTGGTTCACTCAGCTCTTTAGATTCCTCCCTTACCCTGGCAAATGGACTACAGCATTGATGGAACATAATCCTGTGAGATGCCTCTAGGTCACAAACCCCCCATAACTATGGCAGAAATAGGCTAGTTTGAAAAGAGAGAAAAGAAATCCCACAGCAGGAGTCAAAATATTGCAACAGACCCATTGGCAGGCCGAAGTTCCAGGAAACATTGAAACATAAAGCTCATCCAGGACCTTGTGATTCAGGTATTTTTTGCTGTCTACTGTATCACTCCTTTGGGGAACATTCAGTAACCCCTTTCACATGAGATACTTAATTCAGACACGGAGAGGGAAGAATGACCCGTGTGTGTCAATAAGCCAACAGAATTGAGCCAGCAAATTAACAAAGTGTTAGGCTTATATCCAAACAGAGGAGGAGAAAATAAAGTAGCCAGGAAGTGGGAAGGAAATCATATCATCCCAGTCAGTTTTGATGCATCTGAAAAGTATTTTAAAAGTGCTTGAAGGGTCTTGCAATCCAACACTGTGTACTCGGAGAAGGAATGGGTGGAAATCAGTGGTCAAAATCAGAAATCAATTTTTAGAACCTCTTCTGTAGGTTTGGCCTGCTTTGTGGGAGTGGATGCCGGCCATGTGACTGTGTGGGAGTAGTTTCCAGCCATGTGATAGGGTGGGAGTGGCTTGGCAGTCATGTAACTAGGTGGGCGTGGCCAACTTGTAAAATGTGGTGAAACTCACAA